AAGTAATTTCTTGAAAACTTCCCCGATTTTTCTTCTCTGCGAGTAAAATATTTTGTGTAAATCTCGAGCTGTACAGTTAACTTGTTCTTCTCCAAAGAAATGAAATCGAAGCGGAAAATTAGCAGCGCCATGGAGATACGTGGTTTCGCGCGTTGGCTATCGTTACATCCAGTGGCGTGGCGTGATTTGCGATATATCGATTGATACGCCAATCAAACCTATGAAAAAAAATCGATTATCAGGGTGTTCGCAGCGAACACCTCAGTAATCGATTCTTTACCATAGCTTAAAATGGCGAGATATCGATAATCGATCATTTACGCCACGCCACTGTACATCAGAATGCCTAAATCCGTGCCTTGTCTCATGACCCATTCTGGAGGTATACTTCGTTGCGTAGTAAAGTCACTCGTGAAAAAGATCTCTTCGGAAAGCGGCCCCGAAGCATCTGCTTCGAATCTGGAACACGAGGCTTAACCCCCCCATCCAGGTTATGAGGTGCTCTATTTAGAGCTTTGCGCTAGGATTTTTGACACGGGATCGCGTAACGCGCTTGCATTTTGCACAACACCCCGCGCGACCGAATCTCGCGATTGAACCCCTCGATCTCGATCCGGGTTCTCGATCTGGCGGGTCCGATTTGGCAAGGGGGCGACGGGTCTTATCAGTGGCGGAGTGAGCGAGTGATCTGCGTTCGGGAAACGAAACATGAAAGCTGCGAGTGGCGGGAGACCGCGGTCCTGGGCGTACGGAAGCCGCACTCCGCACCAGGGGCTGTTCCGAAGCACCCGAGGACGTCCCGGAGACTCGAACGAAGATTGAAGAAAGTAAGCGGGATTGTTACTCACGAGTGCTGCTGTGTTACCGAAAAGCGGTCAGCCATAAATTCGTCACCTTCCGGCCAAAGTATCACAAGTTCGCATGGCGGATACTTTTTTGGTGGGGGGAGGGGAGTTCTGGAGGTGAGTGACAGAGGGAGGGGGGTTCAAAAGTTGGGAAAAATGGGTGACTTAATTCGTCACCTCCCAGCCAAAGTATCACAAGCGCCAAGCGACGTTTAAAAATTTCCGCCGCCGTTTTAGTTTTTTACAGAGAAATTGTTGGACGAAGCCGCCCGAAAATTTCACTGGATTTTGTTCATGCTGCCGGTAAAATTCGGTGAAATTCTTAAACAGACCCAACCAACAATTTATCTGTAAAAAAAATGGCGGCGGAAATTTTGCAACGTTGCATGGCGCTTGTGATACTTTGGCTGGAAGTTGACGAATTATGTCACCCATTTTTCCCAACTTTTGGATCCCCCTCCCTCTGTCACTCACCTCTAGAGCCCCCCTCCGCTCCACCAAAATAATACCCGCCATTTCAATCGTACTTTCCACCCCCCTTTTCACTGATTTCTCCTTCGATCTCATGCAAAAATTAGACACATTTTGGACAAAAATTGCACAGGTACATTTTTGTCAAAAAATGCACCGTTGCACTGTATAATGGACCCTACTGCAGTTTTTCCCCTCCGAAGTCCAGAAACATCAGGTCCCATTTTTTCCCTTTTCCGACCGTGTTTTGTCCCTTGTGCGTCGGGTTGCGTTCCGTAAAGCGGCCACCCGCTCGCGATCGGGTTCGGGTGCGAACTCGTGGCCCTTTGGCCGCCGGTGGCCTCTGACTGCAGCCTTGCGATTGCTGTTGGCTGCACGATCGGTGTGTCGACAGTGTTGCCGCCCTGGACAAAGTTTTCCCGAAATTCCTGCTCGCGACCCCGGCCGATCCTCGCACAAAGGCAACGCCGTAAGTTCGAGATCCAGTGACCCGCACCTCGTTTTTAGGCCGACCGCCGATCTGAACAAGAGCCTATTTGCGGTAGGAAGTCCATGTAGATATGCTCTTTTCGCCCCGCGTAGCGGTGATGTAAGGGCATCGGGGTCTATCACGGTTTTCCGGGTTTTGCTGTCCAGATTGCGACTAAAGTTGTTGTACCCGTTACTAATTCCTGAATATTTTAGCGCGTTTTTCAAAGCATGTAAATACGTATCTTTAACGCCGTGTCATAGATTGAAAGAAAATAAGATAAGAAGAAAGAAGAAAAAATCAAACCCGAAGTACCGCTGTATGTTTACTTTCGTGATTATACCACTGAGGTAGATATCCTACATTCTGGAGAACGGTTCTATAGTCGATCGGTCAATTGACAATTTTTAATTTTAGGACATTTCTTCAAAAGTCCTCAAGCATGCTATGAAGAAAGTGGTATAAGCCCTCCGACGTTGCCATATCCCCTCCAATTGAAAACAAATTCACGGAGAAAATGATGAATAGTTTTCTTCAAATTTTTCAGACAGTTTTGTTCACCATTTAATCTACACTGAGAAAAAACTATGGCTTATAAACCTATTAGAGGTAAATATGGAACACCACTAATAGTAGTACCTCTACATATAATAATAGCACATATACCTTAGTTATGGTCTCTGTACCTTAATTAGGTACAGAGACCTTAGTATGGTTCACAGACCGAGAATCATTAGTTTATTTACGACTATTATAGGTGTTCCATATTTACCTCTAATAGGTTTATAAACCATAGTTTTTTCTCAGTGTATAAGATCTGAAAATGGCAAGGATAAATATGCATAACTTTCCTCAAATATAAATTTTTATCCGGGGGATTTTGGCAATGCTCGGATGTTCATACGACGTTCTTCCCTAAGCACGACCGCTTTTTAAGCTTTAATGCGTCAGGTATTGTACCCGAAATTTTATCAATAAACATTTTTGAATAACTTGTAAGATGGTTGTCGATTTTGTCTCTGGAACAGAGAAGCTTTCTATTGTCGAGCAGTCTTCAGTTAGGTCAAGTCCTTGTCTGCAAACTCAAGATCCGTAAGTCAGCATAAGCTTCAACAGACACTAGTTAGGAAGGTTTAGTCATTGGAGGGATTATTCCTCTGAAAAAACACCATTAGTACAGCAAATAACACAAAATGATGCATAACACATAATCAGTTCGATACCGAAAAACGTTAGGTTATTTAGAATGTCTTTTGGTGAAATGGAATACAGGGTGGCCGGTGGCCACAATCAGGGATTCAGAATGTCTTTTGGTGAAATGAAATACAGGGTGGCCACAATCAGGGAGACCCGAGAAGAGTCAAGGAAAATAAGGTTAGAAAAACCAGATCCAAGGATTCAGAGCAAATTGATTTCCAAATCAGGAAAAAATTGCGTTAATGGAAATGGCGAATTTTCAAGAGTTGTATCTCATATTTTAAGCTTACCCTTTTAGCAAATTGGAAAATTCTAAAAAATTTTATCCAACGTCTCATGTTTGTCTCTAGAGGAGAGAAATTATCCTCTATAAGTTGATCGGAAAAAGTTTGGAAAAGTTAGGATATTTCAAGTCTGAATATCTGTGGTCATCTTGAAAATAGACGTCAGCTTGATATCACTTCTTTCGGTGTAACCTAAATTTTTTCAGTGATAAGTTAGCTTTACGACAGAGCGTTCAAGTCTTTAGTAGTGATTGTCAGGAAGATAGATTGAAAATGTCCTTGATCCAGTCCAGAAGTCCGATTCATGGATGCTGCAATGAGTATCATGCACTGTATGATTATTTCAAAACTAAGCTACGACAAGGATTATTCCGGAAAAATCTTATTTTTCAGTTCTCTAGACGTGTCATCGAGAAATATTTGTCAAATTGTCCCTCAAAATTATAACACTGAGAGAGCAGAACTATTTAATTTACCATCAACAAAAATTATCTCAAAATTACTCCAGAACCCCTCTTGTAAAGACGCTGTTTCTCGTGATGGCAAAGATGAATAAGTCTCCGCAGAAAGTCGTGCCAAGTTGATGTGCTGAAATGCTCATCGTGAGTGAAAGGTCATGGTTCAAAATTTCTTTGAGTGCAAAAGCTGTGTAAATGAAGTCTAACTACAACAATTTAGCGTACGTTAACGTGCAGTTGTGCATGTGCATGAACCAATCGTTCAGTCCGTCAAGTTTTTTTCCTGGGAGGCCCCAGTTTCCCCAGGTTCAGAGAAAAAGCATGGCAAATTCCTTATTTTAGTAGCTCATATTGCCATCCATAATGGTATACACTCCCAAAATAACGAACTACCTCTGAATAATCAAGACTGGACATTCAGTCAAAATAATTGGTATAACGTCAGATAGCTTCTGGTGTTGGGTGTCAATCGTCAGTCTGTCTCATTTCCTACTAAATCAATCCGTTCTCGAAGTTGTTATTTTATGTCGCTTACGAATAAGTTTTCTTGTCAGGCTGAAGTGTACCTACCTATACGCACAAGAGTACATCTACATCGTAAAAACGGTGAAAAACACACCTTCATACACAATCAAGTATAAAAATGATGCAACTGAAGAGTAATCAGTTTTGTTCCTTTCTTAAAATCTCTTAAAAATAAGAAACTCGTAGTGTAATGAAAATTACTAAAATATATGACTATATAATTAATGTAACAAAACCATACCTAGTGAAAACATCCGTGCTTCATTTCCATAGGTTACGAAATGCAAAAAGTAACAGAAGATAGACACAAGTTATAGAAACAACTTTTCAAAGATAATTATATGGAAAAAAGGTCAATTCTTTACGTCTGTTGATTTGACTATTTTTTTTCTCTTTTTTTTCTTTTTCTTTCTAATTCAAATGCATTTGATCCATTCAAAGAAATGCATATTTGCTATAATTGATTAGAAACATAATTTTCCTCTGAATAAAAAATAACTCATTTGAATCTTGGGAAAAAAATTGCAGTTTAACAAATTTTTTCAACTCAGCAAACATATTCTATACCCTTCAAATTTGGTTTTAATCAAAAAGAATTTTTTTTCAATTTGGAAAAAAAATTTAACATTTTTCCAGTGCATCAGAACGCGGGTGCACTCCATTCCGTCAAACTTATAAGACGAAAGGTGGAAATATGTGACTGGCTTATATCTAAACACTAGAAGCTAGAGTGGTGTGAATGTATGCTTACTTAGTTATAGCTACTGCAATATCATATACAGGCAGTCTTCTTTCTCTGAACAAATATTTGCCCATGTCTGTGAGCGCAGCGGCGGAATCTATGGCGTCGCGTCCGACACGATTCCGCTCCAAATAGGGCGTCGCATCCCGACCCTGTCAATCAAAAAAACACCAGTTACAGTCTCACAGCTACAGCTTGAACTCATTTCATTCATCATCCATCATTCCTCCTTTATCAGTCATCAACCCAGATCCATGCAAGCCTCGCATTCCGCAATAGCCGCGTAGTACCAAATTCATGAGTATGGCTCACTGTCAGTCCTAAATTCGCTTGTTTGGACCGTTCAGTTGCAAAAGGGCGCAAGTGCAAAATTTTTTAGAAGAAATTTTTCGACTGTTTTTCGCATGTAAAATGATTGCAGATGTCAGAAAATTTTCCGTAGTCGCTCTGTTAATGATTTTATGGATTTATAATTTATCATATGGTGGGAAAATTGATTTTTTATTAGAGATCACCCCCACTTGCCTCATCAGGATGAAGAAAAGTTCTTGAAAATTCAAGGAAAACCTGGAAAATTCAGGGGCTTTTGCCTGACCCTGAAAAGTGGGGGCATTTTGCTACAAAGCCCCGAAGTTCTTCCTCTTAGCCAAAATATTGCATTTTTCCCATTTTAAGAGACTTTGTGCTCAAAATTTCTCGTGGATAGAATTAAATAAGAAATTATGCCAAAAACAAAGCGTTGGAAAGTCAAGGGGAAATCAAGGAGCTTAATGTTCAAATTCTGTGAAATGTCAGCGTATACAGTCAACTAATTTTTTATTCAACTATTTTTCTTTTTTTTTACCAGTAGAATTGCCACACCGCGCCCGGGCCTCTGAGCATTCTTATTTCTAGTGCATTATATTGTGTTTTCTTTCTTTTACTTGATGCTGATAATGAATACTTATTTTCTTTTGTTACCGCTCTTGCCCGCTCCTCTTGCACTTGCTCTTATTTCACTTGTATTTCCGCTCCTTTCTTGTAATGTGTTTATCGAGGAATTAAAAAAAAATAAAGAAAAAGAAGAAGTCGAGTAATTTTAAAATTCAAGAAAACTTATCTCCCTGCTCGTGCAACACTTGAACGACCCCTCATCAGTCCTACTCTATCACACATCCTCCAAATCCGGGCGACGCAAGGTTCGCGCTGACGCAACGCTTTTTGCCTCCAGGTCGTTTGAAGGATGACGAAGGAGGAGGACGCGGTGCTCAAGTACCTGAGCGACACGAACCGGCCGTACAGCGCGACGGACATCACGATGAACCTGCACAAGGAGTTCGGGAAGACGGCCGTTCAGAAGGCGCTAGACTCCCTCGTCGAGAAGAAAAAAGTCCGCGAGAAGCTCTACGGGAAGCAGAAAGTGTTCTGCATTGTTCAGCCGGAAACGGCCAATAACTCCCAGGGCCTGGATAACGAGCTCAAAGATCTCGATGCGCAGGTAAGAGTAACTCCATTTCGCATTTCGTGCGAAACCGCGTACGTGCATTGAATTTTTCTATCGAGTTGAGTGGTTTTAGTGAGCCATTACATGCGGAGTGGATCCTATTCACGTCTTAATTTGCCGGGCGAATTTCGCGGTCGAGACACGCGAGCCGGAGATTTGCATGAAAAAGAGCGAAATTTGTCTCGGAGACGCACAGTGGATCGAGCCAATCGGAGAGGTCGGAGAAAATTTGGAAACTTTAAACGCGTATAACTACGTTTATACACAACTTCGAGGTTCTAAAAGTGGTTCCATTGGTTTCCTTGTGAAATTTTCTGCTGAAAGCACCCCTTGAAATTTAAAACGTGATGAAATAAACATGAAAATTTGCAGTTTTAGTCAAAAAATTCATGTTCGACCTTTCTAATTGACTAAAACTGCAAATTTTCATGTTTATTTCATCACGTTTGAAATTTCAATGGATGCTTTCAGAAGAAAATTTCACAAGGAAACCAATGGAACCACTTATACAATTTTGAGGTTCTTAAAGTGGTTCCATTGGTTTCCTTGTGAAATTTTCTTCTGTAAGCACCCATTGAAATTTAAAACGTGATGAAATAAACATCAAAATTTGCAGTTTTAGTAAAAAAATTCATGTTGGACCTTTCTAATTGACTCGATCCACTGTGTGACATTAGCGAGTCGGCGCGGTAGCCACCTATGCTTGTTGCCTTCCTTTTGTCTTCCTCTCTCTTTTCTTCGAATTTTTACTGGGAGCTATTTCTTTCTCCCAAGAGTCAGATCGGAGCTAGATCGGAGTTCCTATCTTGAATACAAAATCCACCGAAATCAACACAAAGTTGGATTAGTTTGTGTTCCACTTCCTACATTAACCAAAAGTGACACAAGAACACAAATATTTTGATCAGTGTATACTTAAACTTGTACCATGTCTGAAAGTCCATCGGGGGGAGGCCAGGAAAAAAAACGTAAAATTACCGAAGAGTCAAAAGGAAATTGTGTTTATGGAAATGGGAAATTTTCACACGATGGGTCACATAGTTTTGGTCAGTGCTTATGGCGGATCAGAAATTCTTAAAGTTATTATTTTTCATCTTGTGCTGTCTCAAAAGGAGGGAATCGGTCAGTTGCGCTAGTCACAGAATCGTCTTTTAATGCTGTAGTCATGTAGATTAGCTAAAAATAATAAGATCTGTCCAAACCGCAACTTTCTACGTTCAATATTAACCCAGTTATCGCCCTTTGAAAAGTCTGGTTTTTGGCGTCATCCACCGCAGTAGTAACACCCTTGGTTCCTTCCACCTTGTTTTCATCCAAGTTTCACGTTTAGTAACCAGTGCAAATGTGCGTAACACCGACTGAACTCGAAGTCCTGTAGGCGCTAATATGCGTTTCACGCCAGCTGACCGATTGCACTGCTTTTAGCGCAATGCGAGAAGTATCCATGCAGTCTTGTAGGCGCTAATACACGTTCCTGCCGACAGCACTGTTTGGCGCAATGCGTGAAGTGTTCCCACAGTCTTGCAGGCGCTAACATCATTCATTCGAGTTTCACGTTGAGTAACTAGTATAGTGCTAATATGCGTCGCACCGACTGATGAAAACAAGATGGAAGAAACCAAGGGCGTCACTACCGCGGTGGATGACGTCAAAAACCCGACTTTTCAAAGGGCGCTATCTCGGTTAATATTGAGCGTAGAAAGTTGCGGTTTGGACAGATCTGATTATTTTTAGCTAATCTGCAAGAATCAAGCATCAATACACGATTCTTTGATCAGCTCAACCTACCCATTTTCTTGAAATTTGTCAGGTTTTCCCCCGCAATTTTAGGGAACACTCTCAAAATATATCATCCGGATCACTGGAAAAAAAAAAAAACACATTGGGTCTAGAGTCCAAACCCTTGAAAACATTGACAAGAAAAAATACTCTTGATTTAATCGGATTTTTGCTTGAATCAAAATGAAATCCCTTAAATAAAGAGGCTTGGTTCTTGATTTAAGCGAGATTCTGATCGAATCAAGAGTACTTTTTCTTGTCGATGTTTTTAAGAGTCTGGACTCCAGATACAATGTGTTTTTTTCCCCCCAGCGGACTGATTATTGAAATTAATAGACAAAGCGATCGACAAAGACGACATAGAGAGTAAGAAGCGATCCTATTGGTGGAAACGGGTGACTCTTATGGACTAAGGAAGAAAATGATGGACTAATTATCGGGTCTCTCGTGGGTTGCCGTTAGTTAGTCTATCACCCACGTCCTTTGTCCATCGTAACCACCCGCTTCCGCCAATAGGATCCCTCCATATCCCTTGTGTCGTCTTTGTCCATAGCTTTGTCTTTCAATTTCAATAATCGACCTGCAGTGATGCTAAATATAACTTTCAGATCAACACGCTGACGGAGAACCTGAAATCCGTGGAGACGGAGCTGAAGTCTTCGGAGGCGAAGCACCGCGACCTCCAGTCGGCGCTGACGACCGAGGAGGCGGAGGCCCAGCTGGCGGAGGTTCAGGCCTCCGTGGAGAAGCTGGAGAAGCGGCTGAGCGACCTCTCCTCGAGCCGCGTCCAGATCTCGGCCAAGGACCGGGAGGCCATCAAGAAGGAGGCCGAGAAGGTCGTCAAAGAGTACAGGAAGCGGAAACGGATATGCACGGATATCCTCAACTCCATCCTGGAAAATTACCCCAAACCCAAGAAGACCCTCTACGAGGAGGTCGGTATCGAGACCGATGAAGATGCCGGTATGAAACCTATTGCTTGAGATTGTCGTTCAAGGGCGCGCTCGTGATAATGGTTAATTGAACCGTGTTTAGCAGAAAGGAACCAAGCCACATTAGCTATTGCCGAATGTAACCGGGCAATTTTATATTTTACAAGAGAACGTTTATGCGGACTTTTTTGGAAAATTTCAAGGAATTTTCTTCTTATTTGCTGAAAATTCACCGAAATTTGCACAAAAATCTGCTCAACCCTTATAATGTGAAAAATTAAATTGCCCTGTTAAATTTGACCATAGCTGATGTGGTTTGGTTCCTTTCTGCTTAACGCGGTCCAATTTTTGTATGGTTTTTCATTCAATCACAATTTTCTGAGGGCAATTGCTTTTTCACACTTTTTTCCTACTGGATTTATTTTTTTATTTGAATGAACCAGGAAAGTTGTCATTGATGACTAAACTATTTTCATCGAAGTAAAAAACAAAAATATCTCTATAAAACACATGTCGTGTGATTTTGCACATAAGTGTGTCATCGATCACGCACTTTTGTAACAATTAAAGAGCATTTTTCAAACCTTTTGAGTCTCTCTTAAAGGTCCCTTTTGTTGTCTTAGACTCCTTGTCTAATAAAAATTTTCCACGTAAATTTAATAGATGTCGAAATAACTTTTTTTCGAATCACAAACAATCTTGAAGATTTATAAAATAAGAAAGTGAAGAAAATAATGTTTAAGCCAATCAAAAATTCTTGAAGTAAATAACATTTTTTCAATCAGAAGTGAATTTATTATTTTTGTTGAAATAAGAAGGATATTTTTACTATTTTAGCACGTTGTTGTCCCATACCTTGACGTTTCATTCTCTTCGCTATTCGTCTTTAAGAATGTATTGATGCTGACCTGTGAAATTACTATCCTTAGATCAGTACAACACGTGGTCCATGTAAACGCTTTTTTATATGTACGTTTGAATTTTCTTAATAGATACTTTGCTTTTTTATCATCATTATTTTACTCAAATTTTTGCTGCGGGTGCGCCGCGTTAAGTTTTCATCGTATTGAACTATTTTTCATTCATATTATGCATGTTGGTAAGAAAATGATTCACTCAGAATTGCTTCGGCTTTTTTATGTGAAAAAACTTGATGCTTTTGAAGCCTGTTTCTTCTAGTGTTGTGTTCATACGATCAAATACCTGAATTCAGATGATAAACCCAATGTTCTCTGTTAATTGTCAGAGTATACCCATATTTTTGCATATGCCGTAACAGTTTACCACTATACCTTAAACCATGAAGTATTTATTTTTTTAAGGATTTGTTTAATACTCGAATTTTAATTTTATATTATTTTTATGTATCATATACATTTTTTAATGTTCCCGGAACTTGTCATTGTTTCTAGAATCGTTTGTTTTTATTTTCTACCAGGAGCACTATTCAATTTTTTTTTATCGTTACCGTTACTGTAATGAAATAAACTTATTTCAGAAAGAGAGTATTTCTAATTTGTCAACTTACCCTTGAAATAATAATTCCAGCTATGCTAATTCGTATTTTTGGACCTTTGAGAAGCTTATACCTGAGATCAACCCCATTCCAAAATGACACGAAATACCTTTTGATCTGAGCATTATCACCTCCGTGTAATCTGAAATCCAAAGATTCACAAATGACTATCAAGTAGGGGAAATTCAAACTAATTGTTTGAGAAAATTCAATCATTATCTCAAATGGTTCTCGACTATGCTGTTTAGCCGTATCATACCTATCGATTAATGGCGATAAATCGATGGGTTTTTATTCGAGGAAGACAACTTTTTAAAATCTCCCATCTAAACACTGCGTCTGTGAATATGTGTAATCACGAAATTGCATAACTTGCCCATTGTCCTATTTTCCTAGGAAATTGACAAATTTGCACATTGAATTAAAACATTATCAACGATATTACCCATACCAAAAGGATGCAGCGAAAGGGCGAAGTTCCAATAGGTTTCCATAAATATGCCTCAGGCCGCCTCAGGTATGAGTTAAATAGGCATATTTTCCATAAGGTTACGATGGATATGGAGGATATCGATGGACAAAGTGCGAAATCACGTATGTCCATTACGGTTTTTCGGAATTTTCGCTCCTACTTCATTTTTTCGCAGAGAAACAAGCCAATTCTCTAGCTTGAGATTCACACAGAATATTCTGTTAGAAGGGGAAGAAAAATCCACGAAGTTTTCAAGAAATTACGTCGACTAGTTTTCAAATGAAAAACAAAGTATGACAGGAAGTCTACAACGTCACAAATGGAGATATGTGGTTTCGCACTTTGGCCTTCCATATCGTACAATATTCATAGATTCGAGCGATTCGTTAGTCAATTATTCATCAAGTAAACTTACCTATAGCCATCATAATCGACAATGACTAAAATTTCTGGATAAATGACGTAAGGGGCTTCTCGCTTTTCCCTCAGCCATCGTTTCGTTCTACTTTTACTATTGGGCAGGTCATCCGGCTCCATGAATGCTGCAAGAGAAACAGAAAATAACTTAATTAGTCCCCTTGAGGAACAACGATGTTTAAGCTGAGAGAAGGAAAGGAATAAGGAAAATAATAGGGAAAATAGGATAAACAATACGAATGAGGGAGAAGAATAGGAAGATAAAGAGGAATAACCAGAAAGAGAGGAGGAGAAAGAGGTTGCTGTTGTTGTATACGTTTATTTTATAGCGGTTTTTTTTTTCAGCAACTTTGGCCATTAACACATTTGCAGTTTAGGTCAAAGAAGAGAAAGAAGAAAATAAGTAAAGATAAAAAGAACATGAGATAAAAGAAAAAGAGCTCTTTTTCTCCTTCTCTCTCTTCCTTTTTCTCTCTTTCTGTTTTGTCCTCCGATTCGAAGGACGGATTCTGTGAGAAGATTAAGGAAAATTCATGAATACATGCCTCATTCACATGGCTGAGCCGAGGGATGAAATGGACTACATTTTGCAATTAGAAACGAAAATTTCTGGCTCAGTTCAGAAACAACGAATGTACCATCAGTTTCCCTATAAGTGTTTCTGCGGATGAGCTAGGTATTGCAGTTCTAATTGCAAAATGCAGTCCCACTTTCCATGTGACAAAACACAAGAAAATGGGCAACCTTGACTTAAAATAAACTAACAGAATAGCTAGGACGTTCGAGGGTAGTTTCAACCCCCTCCTCAACCAGAAAACAAAAACTATGAACAAAAAATAAAAAAACTCCTCGGATCCCCATACGTGATAACGAAAATGGGGTTCCAAAAATGAATGTATGAGGGGTTTTTGATTTTTAAATTTTCATATTTTTGTTTCCTGGTCGAGGAGGGAGTTGAAACTACCCCGTAACATCCTAGGCATTCAATAAAAAAACACTTCAAAAAGCGGGTAACAAGGCTAAAATTTCACGAACGTTACCCGCTTTTTAAATTGTTTTTTTTTTATTGTATATCTTGTCACGGGCTGCGGAACGTCTATCATATCTCACGTCCGAGGCATTCTGTGCGTTTGTTTTTTGCCATGGTTGTCCATTTCCCTGTGTTTCGTTCCGTCAAATTTGGGCTATTTTGTGCATTATTCTTTTCTAGAGTCCCTTTATACCCAGAGTTAAGACAACTCGATTATCAGCTGACTGGCAGCCGGCCTTGGCTGGCCATGGAGGCCGAAACGAGTGCACCTAAACGAACGATATTGAGGGATAAGGATCAGGAATCCTGCGATGTCTGTCACACAAAAACAACAACATCAACAAATTGATCAATTAAAACGAAAATTAGATTGGTTTGTGAATAATTTCTTAATCTATTTTCATTTTAGACCGATGGAAATAACAATTTACTCTTGATAAACCACAATTAGGTAATATTTTCATTATTCTTGTTCACATTCGAGGTACCGCCATCTTGGTGCACTCGTTTCGGCCTCCATGAGCGAGAACCAATCAGAATTGGATTTTTTTTTAGGCCACTTTCAGCTCAACCAAAAGTGAGTTGTCTTAACTCTGGGTATACAGGGACTCTATTCTTTTCGAATGGGCAGTCGACAACTCACCGTAGTCGCCGAAGTGGTTGCTGTGATTGCTCTGTCGCCTGTAGACGATGTGCTTGTGCTGGAAGTCGTCGAGGTCCAGCGAGGACTTGAGCGGGAAGCCGGACTCGACGGCGACATCCTCGCCGCGGCGGATTTCCTTGGTGAGGAAGACCTCGTCGTTGTCGTCGGAATCCTCGCTTCCGTTCTGGAACTCCGGCTCGGAGCGCCCCTCGTCCCGGGTGCCGCCCGCCTGGTGCTTCCGCAGATGCGCCGGCACCGGCTTCACAATCAGGTCGTGCCCGATCGTCCCCTCCTGCCGCAACAGAAAACACCGAGAGTCAAAAATCACGCCGAAATCCACGCTCCTTCGGCGTAAGGGCGTATCTCGATTTCCGCATGAGCCCCAGAAAGCATGGATTCATATGGAAAACAGGGCTCACATGGTAATTGATGTATGCCCTTCCGGCAGAGGGGCTACAAAAGCTACGCTTAGAGATAATTGGACGTATTTCTGTCAAACGGAACTACGTGCATTCAGACGTGAGCCCTGAAACCCATAAGAATATGTGCATAACGGGGCTCACATCAGAATGCACATAGTTCCGTTTGATAGAAATACGTCCAATTCAGGGTGATCCAAAAGTCCAGAACCAACCCTTCAGTCCGTAGCGATCTTGCAATTTGTCTTGAAATTTTGAAGCATCGAAGAAATTGTGTTCTTTGTCCTGAAAGAATTCACAAAATTTCAGGTCTTTGTCTAAATTTTTAAAATATCACAGGTGTGATGTTTGTTGATGGTGCGGGTGGTATGCGGGACTTCCAGATCACCCTGTTTATTCTAGAGATCCCGCTCTGCAATCTACCCTATAAAGTTATTTAAAGTTAAAGTTGTTTTCGAAAGTTGACGATCAGATTCATTTACTGATGACTTATGACCAAAGATTTGAGCAATTGGTTTAGCAATCGTAACCCCATCTGTAAAAACTCGCCTCACAAAGTGCTCACCCCGACGCCAGTCATCATCAGGCGAAATGAATTTATTTCATTCGTCTACAAAACGCCTGCAATAATCCGTGTAGGCAATCAGCATGGCCGCAGAGCACGAATAGTTGCTCTATTGGATTCGCTCCATCTATTAGTATACATAAGTTCCTCCAGCACAGAAAGTTGCTAGTTCTCCTCGTGGCTCTAGTTCACTCAATTTTTGAGGTATAAAATTAGATAACTCGGTTTTCTGGTGATCCTCATTCATGTAATACTGTAGCAATACTGCCTCTATGCTACCTACTTGGATCTAAATTCGAAATTATAGTGGAGCCAAAAAACACTTAATCAAGTCCTGATCGAAACTGATATTAAAAGTTAAACAAATGTCAAGTCTTTAATGACTTTTCTGACGTGGATAATAACCTGCGGCTCACGAAATCGATCAACCGTCGCACAAACTGATGCTGTGAGGTATAGCACTGCTTGGCCGAACGCAATAATTATTCTCCTCGTTACACGAAGAGCTGTGATGCAAGATTGCGTGGTCTCATGGTGTTTATTTTTGTTGGTCAAAATACGACGAAAGTTCCTGCATTTTTTAACCAATTTCTGTATGAATCTCTACAAATGTAATCAAAATAATCTACAGCTGCAATGAGATCTACCTGAGAAGGGGCCTTGGTCCATTGAAACTCATAATCGAGCAATTGTTACCAGAGCATGTAGAAGTGTTCCACGAACAATTTGGGACTAAAGAGACCCAAAATTGTGCGAACAGACCGGTATTATGGTTGCTTGAAGTTTCTTGTGAAAAAAAATGTAGTTTGGAGAAGAACCTGTGTGGGCTTTTAACCTGCCAGCTGCTATGTGTTCAGGGTATACTATTTTTGGATTTTATTGCAACTTTACTCCATATACTGGCGCCAAAATAAACTCGACCGATCTTTCTTTATTTTTTAGACCATCGACTCAAGAAGAGGGATTTTCGTTGAATTTTATAAAAATCCTATTTTTTTACTCAACTGGCCAAAATCGCTCTTTTGAAAGTGGTCCGGAGGACCAAGGCCGCAATTCCCGCAAACGGTGAAAAATATGAAATTACTAACTATTAATTACTATTAATTTCGATTTTTTATTGAAAGTTGACAACCCCACATGAGTATATCACGCATCTGACTATAACACCGAAGTAACGCCAACGGTTACACAACCTAGCGTTACCAAAACTCACGCAACTTGCACCGTCGAGAAGCGATGTGTATCGATAGTGACTCTGATTATCTTATTCATCTCCTACGATGTATCGAATGTCGAGGTATCGAATATCGATGTTGTCGCGTGAGTTACGATATGTGCCGCTACACGGGTGTAAGCAATCATACAAAAGCGTGCTCTTGTTTTCATTTGATTCGCATTTGATGTTATGATGGACTGATTTAGTGACTGTGTCATTCGATAAATCGATGGTTTCATCCAGAACAAATGAACTGTTCTAATGTCGATTGCTTTTCCACATTTTTAAGGACGGTGCACTTTAACGGCGATATATCGCATTACGTATCCACAAAATCAGTCCATCAGATCGCTATTCCGCGTATGTATATCCAGTTCTGTTGAGCACCCGAAGTGAAATCTGATCGAAATTTTAAGGAAATCTCATGGAACTGAAGGGAAAATTATACCAAATCATGTAGTAAATCGTCGAATCTTAAGTCTTAAAAAAATCGTATCGATTTTTGAGGAACGTTCGATGATAAATGTGATCGAACTTTAAAGATAATCTTATTTATATTTGAGAAAAATCGGATCAAATTTGAGAAGATTTGATCAAAACTTGAAAATATTCTAAAGAAATTTCCAGGAAAATATGCATGACATTTTCGGAAAATCCAATCCATTTCATCGGGACCTTTGATTAAAATATGATTTCAAGTAGCTTCATCCCTTCAGCAACAATCAATGTCATCAGCCGTGCGACTTGACAAGGCCCAATTTGTTTTTTCATATGGAAAAATCCTTTAATCTTATCCAAGTTGTAAATATAGTTCGATTGAGAGGATGAGACTCACCATTAAATAGGTGCCATCATGTTTATCCCTATGTAGAACTATGGCAGCCTGAGACTCCTCGTCTTGATAAGCTTCCCCCACATACTCCTGTGAACAGATTAAAAACATAATGAATGAGAAAAAATTATTGATAACCTATAAGAACGAAAAGACTGTGATTAGACTGTTATGGCTGAAGAGAGAGGAGAGGAAAACAAGGGTGGAAAATTCTGGTTATCAGAACCGAAATTCCGTTTTTACAGAGTATCCAAGTTTTCAACCGTAGAAACTGAACTGAATTACCCAAATCCTCTCATCGACCCGCTCCACTGAGCGCCGCCTTAGTGTCGGAAGTCAAATCGCCTTCACTCCCGTGAGTATGCAACACGGACATCCACAGAGCTCGAATAGTTGCATTCAGGCGTTACAACGAGATCCGTTTGGTATCCGTCGCATGTGACGCTAACCGAAGCTCTGATCGTTTCTTTTACAACTTAACTTGATTCCAGCGCTGCCTATTGTTGCAATGAAGTAAACTATTATTGATTTTTATCGCAACATTGTCAATTTTCCAAGAAATGCACTATTTAAATATATTATAGCGTTACTGGCCCTTGAAATCGCAAAATATTACGTATCCAAGCATTGTTCGTAGATATTCCTTTAATCTACTCTAATGAGTCGTCCTTTACTTGGGGTTTTTTGTTTGTTTCTTTTTCTTTGAGAAAATTATCTTTGACGTTTAGGTACAAACTTTTCAAAATTAATTATGATGAAATGCTCGGAATTCGGAACAAAACCGACGACCAATCGTCTTCCGAAAATATGAAATGATAAGTGCACGAACACTTACCAATTAATGAAAAATAGATTATACAAATGTTGTCATTTGTATTTTTGTCATTTAACCAATGTTAATAGTAGACGCATATATCTTGTTTAAGAATTGGTTTCCAGACTTCCCATCGTGTAATTCGTTTTCCTCGTGAAAATTGAAGGAGATAATGTGTTGCGTGGAGCTGTAATTCACGCATTCCGTCGGCAAAAAGAAGAATAAACGGTCCATACCTTCGCATTAATATCTGCTTTTCTAGTTGGATAGCGTCTAGCGAAAGGGATACATGAATATCTCTGGGTGATACCCTGTAATTATGGCTGCGATAGGATTGCGCGATTGACCCCTTTTTTACCTTTTTGGAGATGCAAAGGATTGGGCGAATTTTTCTGGCACTGAAAACTCACATGTCTGCGGGAATATTCAATATTCAACGAGGAAGCGTTAAGCTGGCAACCTTGGTAGTTTGTGGTAGATATCTAAATCGTGGAAGACTGTTCATTCCCTCATCACTTACGGGCATGGCTCTTTTCGATGGATAGCCCTCGCAGAACAAATGACCCAGAGAGCTTTCATGGACATTTAAAAAGTGAACTAGGGGCCTGTGGTCGCTACGCGGCAGTCAACCACTGAGAAAAACTACACGTAAAAAATCGTAGAACAACCATATTCAAGTTTTTTAAGAGATGAATGGATTCAAACCCGACGGGTGTACTCGAAAGAAATGTATATTTATATATGGTTGCAACATTATGCACCATTTTTATGTTTTATTTTTAAAAAAGCTACACACAGTTTTTCTGAAAAGTGTCCGCGAATTTACCTAAGTGATGTCAAATAAAAGTATCGAAAATTTCAATGCGATATTTTCGTTAGTTCTTTTTTCTTTTAATGTAACAAAAAAAAAAAACTAAATTTCATCCGAGTTTCCAAATCGATACAATGAGGATACATATTTTCCCTTTAATTATGGTAAGAACTGGAACAGAAAGTCAAGAATGATGAAACGCAGTCTTACAGCATTCCTCCAGTCTTGTAGACGCTAATCTGCGTTACACGAAAATTGACCGCCGTCTGTACTGCGTTTGGCGCAATGCGAGAAGTATTCACGCAGTCGCGTAGGCGCTACCGTACCGTTTGGCGCAATGCGTGAAGTATTCCTAAAGTCTCACGGGCGCTAATATACGTTTAACGCCGGCAGTATTGCACTGTGTTTGGCGCGATCATACGAACTCGCGTTAGAATCAACGTGTCACCGAATAATAAAGCTTAAAAGGCCCATGTTGTGTTTCGACGCCGTATGAGCATTCCAGCGTTGCCTCGTTTCTCCCGATTGAATACTTTTTCCAAGAAAAGTTTGGAGAGTTCTTTATACCCACGACCATTATTCAATCGTTTCACCTCATATATTTATCATCAGAAGGTAAGACATCGATGACTTGTCGACAAACTAACCTAAACTAGCGTTAACATTAAAATGCGTTTATTTTCCAATTGTATCCTGTTTTGCAAAACTTCCACCTTAAATTCACTCTATTTGAAATTCACGCATTACTGCCGCAGATTTTAAGGTTTTTATTTGCGCAGTTCTTGGGCCTTTTTCGCGTAATCCTCATATATTTTCTTACACCTTTCGCGCAATCCTGGATTACCGGTAATTATGTCCTACAATATGAATGAAGGCCTCAGTGGAGGGCAGTGGGCTGATTATTGAAATTGATGGACAAAGCGTTAGACAAAGGAGAAATGATGGAGCTACCTATTCTGTATAGGTGGAAACGGGTGGTTATAATGAACAAAGAAAATCAATCAGAGACAAACTAACGGCGACCCGCGAGGATTCTTTGGTCAGTCCATCATTTGCCCCCTTTCACACGCCTTATCACATCCACCCGTTTCAACCAATAGGATCTCTGCATTTTCTCTTTGTTGTCTATTACTTTGTCCATCATTTTCCTTTTTTTCTCTTTTTTTTTCTTCTTGGCGTGTCTCGCGGAGATAAAAAATCTGCAAAGACACCAAACTTTAACCGACCGTCACCAACCTCATAAAGGTTTCGTGTATCTCACAAGAGATAGTGCAGCCCGATATGACAGTAGGGCGCTGCTGGATTAATTTGCCATTGGCAAAAGGCGAAATAAACGGTACATGCCCTTGCATGGATCTTTTCTAGTTGGATAGCTTTAGCGAAAGGGATTCATCTCAGTAACGTTATTTCACCAAAACCTTGGGAAGGGGGGGGGGGGCAAGTGACCTGACTTGACCCCTATCATTAGAGTACCTATATTGAGAGAGTATGGCCACTGGGCCCCATGGAGAGGTTTAGGACCCAAAAATGGCGGTGCGTTGTTTTGGTTTTTGTGGAAGGGAGGGGGGTCATTGCCAACTTTTGACGGTTTTCACCAACCGCACTTGCTGCCAACCTTACTGCATCTAAGATAATTTTTCTCAAAAATTGCACACGATTAGCCTTAAAAATATGTAAAGAAGTCGCAATAGTGCATTTGGGTAAATTTCTCGTTACGATAAGCAAAGAAAACTACATTTTGAGTCATTTTGCATTACATTAATTTAAGGCGTCCGCCATTTTTGGGTCCTAAGGGCTCCATTCAGCCTAAGATGCCTGAGCCAATCAGAGGTGGTAACTCCAGTGGCCATACTCTCTCAATATAGGTACTCTACCTATCATGATACCCAAGAGAGAAAAATCAAGTTTTCAGCAAATCGATCAATTCCCCCGTTTATCAATGCCTTTTGCAACGGGGGGGGGGGGGGGCGTTCCCATCTAATGTCGCCACTGATTCATCTCATCAATATCCCTGACTGATGCTCTATAATCAAGTCCTACGATATGACTCGAGGCCCCTGACAGTATGGTTCAGTTGATCTCGTCAGTATTTCACGCTGTCCAGACTGGAGATGATGATTGGTTTCACGGGTTGACATCTATGTCGACAAAAGTTCAAGATGCAGCCTTCGGTTGGTCTCGTCCCTGAGGTTAACCCGATTCCTTTGGGTGAACGGTCGGCGAGAAAACGGAAGGCTGTGGATGGTTGATGGTTTTTTTATTATCGGTGGATTAGAGCGATAAGCTTGGTTAATACGTCAGCATGGTCATTGGCTTGGCTGGCATTTCGCGTGGGCAAAGAGCGTCACTTGTCCGGCGGCCAGGCGTCTAGCTCTTGGTCATTTGGATGTTGGTAACGCTGCCAAGTTAGCGATGAAATTTCTCTTTTAGACGCCTCGTTTGAAAAGTTACCCAATCCAAGGGTTCTTGCTACACAGAGTTGTTGAGGTCATGGAAATTCGAGAGCAGCAAATTTCAAGCAATTTTCACTGTATTTTTGATAAATAGAGGATTTTTCTCTCTTTTTTTGGAATGCAAGATTATGTTGGCAAATGTAATCAGAGATTTTTTTTTTCGGTAGGACCCGGGAAACATCAGGTGATTTCCATGTAATTCCAATACAGGGAGTTAAGGTTTTCTCAATAAAACCGAGGAAATTCGATAGAATTCTTGCTCTTGTAGTCAACGGCTTTTCGTAAGAAGTTATGGAGAAGATGGAAAATGTTTGCAGGTCTGGTCAGTGATTAATTGTACTTTTTTTGTGAAGTCTGGGAAAATGCAGGGAATGTCGACGTGCTTCTTAGCTCGTAGCCCTCATACAAGAAGTTGTGTAAGTTTTTGATAGCTGGATGATAATGGAATTTCGGAAAAAGAACCTAAATTTTTGGCTCACACCGAAAGAAATTGTTAAAAAACATGTTTTGAACGAAGAAAAAAATGTGTCTCTCTATGAAGGACACATTTTCCGTCGAACGTATTTTCGGAGTAAAAGAATATTTATAATTAAATGAAAAATTCTCCGCTATGAAATAATTGTAAAGCGAAATGCAATATTTTTCATTAAAAAAATCAGTCTTGTCATTGGATGACAAATTTGATTCTCTTTGAATGAAGAAAATTTAATCTTAATGAATGAAAACATCATTTATCACTCAAAAACATTCTCCTTGAGTTGGGAAAAAAACCACTATTGTAAGCGAAATGTCCCTTCGAATCAAAGATAAACTATTTTTCTTAGCTTAAATCGTGTTTTTAACCATATTTAAATGCGAATCAGGAACGGCCCATCGTCCCTTCGATTTTCATGCACCAGTGAAGTGTTTTGACGGAAATGTCAGAAAAGTCATCGCGAAGGCCCATCAAATCATTCTCCATTTCTGTATGAGTATGGACAGATGTGAAACTCCGAAAATCCATCAGGCCTTC